CAGTCAGTTGGCCAGGTAGCGGTCTTTCAAATTTTTTGACATAGATGAGTGAGTGCCATCAGTGCTGCATCAGTTTGTTGAAATTTTTCAATTTGTATTCCATCATTTCCTGGAGCCTCGTTTTTCACCAATGCCTTCAATGAGCTTGAACTTCTTCCTTCAGTATCATCGGTTCTTGACCATATTCTGCCTTTTGAAATGACAGAACATTGATCATTTCTTTTTTATATAGCTACTCTGTAGATGTCCCATCTTTCTGCATCAATATTTTCCCCATGGAATCCTTCAATAGTACAAGCCGAGGCTTGAATCTTTTCTTCAGCTCTTTCAGATTGAGAAATGCTGAGCATGTTCTTCCCTTTTGGTTTTCTAACTCCAAATCTTTGCACATTTCTTTATAATACTTAACTTTGTATTCTTGAGCTGCCCTTTGAAATATTCTGTTCAGCTCTTTCGCTTCTTCATATCAACCATTTGCTTTAGCATCTCTACACTGGAAAACAAGTTTCAGTTTCCTCTGACATCCATTTTCTTTCTTTCCTGACTTTTAAATGACCTTTGATTTTCTTCCTGTATGATGTTCTTGAAGTGATCTCACACCTCTTCTGATATTTAGTCATTAGTGCCTAATGCATCAAATTTGTTTTTTAAATGGTCTCTAAATTCAGGTAGGATTGTTCATGGTCATACTTTGGATCTTGTGAACTTGTTTAAATTTTCTTCAGCTTCACAATGAACTTGAATATGAGCAATTGATGGTCTGTTTCACAGTCTGCCCCTGGCCTGTTTTACATGATGATGCTGGGCTTCTCCGGAAGAGAAAATTGATGCTTTCTATTTCTGTGAAGATTTATAGCCTTGGAACCCTATACAGGTTCGCTATGAAATGAAACCAACAACACTGCACATATCCACCACTACCACCATTGAGCTTTTCCAACATTTCTTCTCACAGATTTAATCAATTTGGTGCCTGTGAATTCCATCTTGTGATATTCATGTGCATAATCATCTTTAATGTTTAAAAAGATATTTGCAATGAATAAGTCATTGGTCTTGCAAAATCTATCATATGATCCCCAGCATCATTTCTATTGCCAAGGCCATATTTTCCTGGTAGTGTAGGGGTTACGAATTGGGCTGCTAACCTCAAGGTCAGCAGTTCGAAACTACCAGCTGTTCCGCAGGAGAAAGTTGAGGCCTTCTGCTCCCGTAAAGATTTACAGCCTCAGAAACCTTGTACAGGGAACTGACTCCACAGCACACCGCCATCACCAATCCTTCCTCTTTGTTTTCAGTATTTGCATTCCAATGATTATTAATACATTTTGATTGTGTGTGTGTGTTTTTATCAATTTCAGATTGAAAAAGTTAGTAGAATTCTTCAGTTTCATCATTACTGACTTTAGTGGTTGCTGCATAAATTTGAATAATAGTGGTATTAACTGGTCTTCCTTGTGCATGTATGGACATTACCCTGTCACAGACAATTTGTATTTCAAGATAGATCTTGAATGCTCTTTCTAAAGATGAGTGCAATGCCATTCCTCTTTAATTTGTCATTCCCAGTACAGTAAGCCATATTATTGTCAAATTCAAAATGGTCACTATCAGTTCATTTGAGCTAATACCTAGGGTATCAATCTTTATGTGTTCCATTTCATTTTTGACAACTTCCCATTTTCCTAGATAGATACTTCATAGCATTCCATGTTCTAATTATTATTGGCTGTTAGAAGTTGTTTTTCCTCATTCTGTTTCCGTTAGTAAATGAAGGTTCTGAAAGCTTTACTCCATCATCACAGTCAACCTTATTTTGAGACGGCAGCTCTTCCCAGTCATATTTTGAGTGCCTTCAAACCTGTGGGGCTCATCTTCTGGCACTATATCTGATAATATTCTGGTGTTATTGATAATTTGTTCATCTTCAAGCACTGTATCTGACAACATCCTACTGCTATTCATGAGGTTGACTAAACATTCAGTAGTCCACCTCTCCATTTTCCTAGTCTGTTTTAGTCTGTAAGATCTGCTGAAACCTGTCCACCATGAGTAACCCTCTTGGTATTTCAAATATCAGTGGCATAGCTTGCAGCATCACAAGAACATGCAAGTCACCACAGTATGACATACTGACAGATGAGTGGTGGTTAGTTATCCAGTTCTGCAATAATAAAAATATACGACTGACTTTAACAGAAATTTATTTTCTCATAGTTTAGGAGGCTATAAGTACAAATCCAGAGAACTGACACAGGAGAAGACTGTTTCTTTACTATCTCTGGGGAAAGGTCCTTATCTCTTTACCACTTCTATTTCTTGATTACTTGGTGAACTTCACATAGTATCTAACTTCCCCACGGTGTGCTTCCTTGCTTCTAAGACTAATCTGTTCTTTTGTATCTCAAAAGTGATTGGTTTAAAATACACACTATATTGATATGACCTCATGTGCATAACAAATGGAATTATATGCACAGGTATGGTAGTGGTTGTGTGCCGTGGAGTTGGTTCTGACTCATAGCAACCATGTATAGAATTTCCGAGGTTGTAAATCTTTATGGGAGCAGACAGTCTCATCATTCTCCCAAGGAACAGCTGGTAATTTCAAATTGCTAACCTTGAGGATAGAAGCCCAACTCATAATCACTATGCTTCTTAAGCACAGGTATAGGGGTTAGCATTCCAACATACATTTTGCAAAGCAACCTGTACATTGACCAAGTGCAGTTATTTGGGAAAAAATGAGATACTGAAAGTATTGCATTAGGCAAATGTGCTGCACAAGACCTCTTTAAAATGTTCAAAAGCAAAGATGTCAGTTTGAGGACTAAGGTGCACCTGACCCAAGACATGATTATTTTTAATAGCCTCATATGCATGTGAAAGTTGGACAGGGAATAAGGAAGATCACAGAAGAATGGATGCATTTTGAATTACAGTTTGGGGAAGAATATTAAATGTACCACGGACTGCCAGAAGAAGAAACAATTCTTTGTTGGAAGAAGTACAGCCAGAATGCTCCTTAGAAGCCAAAATGGCTAGGCTTCATTTCTTATACTTCAGACATAATATCAGGAAGGATCAATCCCTGGAGAAGGACCTAATCCTTAGTAAACTGGAGGGTCAGCCCTTAAAAGGGAGACTCCCAATAAGATGGATTGGCACAGTGGCCGCAGCAATTGGCTCATGAGTAACAAAGGTTGTGAGGTTGGTGCCAGGCCGGCAGTGTTTCGTTCTGTTGGGCATAGGGTAGCTATGAGCTGGAATCGACTCTACAGCACCTAACAATACTGTAATCCCTGCAAGAGTCTGGTTTGTTCATTTTCACTTTTGCTATATTACCTCTTGCTACAAGAGTCCAAAGATTGGTTATGTATTGGGTTGCAATACATTTGACTGGCTTCATGGTGCAATTTGTTACTCCATATTTAGGGATATTCATTGTTTTGACAATGATAAGGTTCCTCGAAAACCCTATACAGGATTATGAGTCATAACCAACTCGATGGCACTTAAAAACAACTAAGAGAAATGTTGGCTACCTGAACCCACCTAGAGCCATGGCAGATCTAGCAATCCCTTTCGTATGGATCACAGCCAAGAAACCCTATAGAACCGTTCTGCTTTTTAACACATTGCATCGCCATGAGTCGGAATTAACTACTCCGTAAGGGATATGGGTTTTTTAGTTTTTGTTGGTTTGTTGTTGTTTTGACAATTATAAGCAAATTTAATGGAAAGGCTAGGTGCTGTGAGAAAAAAACTGAAAAAGAAAAACGGTAGTAGTAAGGCTGAACAGTATTTGCTCACATCTTTACCTGCAAGAATTTCCAAGTGCCCTCAATCCAGGAACAAAGGGGGAAAGGACCAAAAGCAGAAGACACAGAAAATTCTCACCCTTGAGCCCCATTAAGACGCGCTTCCTGGTCACCAACCAATCCTAAATCGTGTTCTGAGCCCGCCCACTGCTTGAGCGACCTTTCCTTGCTTCTCTTTACGGCAGTTTTCCAACTAGCTTTGCGTCTGCTGCTGTCGTTTTTTAAGGTTACTGGTGCTGCGACAGTTTGTATATGTCGGTGGAGAGCACGTCGCTTTCCGGTAGAGGCGTGGGGCGGAGGCCCGCTGCCTCTGGGCTGGTATGAGCTGTACACCTGGTGGAGGAAGAGTAGCCGAACTAGAGCCATGGTGAGTGCGGCCTCTGGCCTCGAAGGAGAAAATTAGCACTCTAGTGCGGAACTGAATCTGGGTTTATAGTCGCGGGATGTGACAACCTCGAGGCCTAAAACTGTTGGCTCATCTCGCTCGCTCGGGCCTTAATATCGTACCCTGCGAGGGTCTCTAGTCCCTGGCCTGCAGTTGATCCCCTCGCAGCCAACTAAGGTCTCTCACTGCCAGGGACTCGGAGATAGTGAAAAATGCTGTTGACTCTACCTGCCCTTCACCTTAACGCCCTTGTGGCCTTTGCTGCACTTCTCTCGCCGTCTTCTGAGACTCCTGTTGACATTGAGCTCTTCTCCCCGGATCCTGGACATCTTGAGTCCTTTCTCCTTTACCTTTGTTCTCGTGAGGTGACATGGTGCTAAAAGCGCTTAGGAAGACGAGCGCCCTAGTTAAGCGCACGTTTATCTTTGAAAATGTCTTATCAGAATTTTACAGGAACAATCTGTGATCGCCTCTAATACAAGTCTATTTCCACTGCTTTGGATTCAACTTTTCTGTGACTTCGTTTACCCAGGGATGAAAGAGAACATTTCAAAGGGAGGGGAGTCATCCTTTTCTCTATTTCGCAAGGAAATAAATCGACTTGCCCTTTTTGTTCCTAGTGAAAATCCCCACGAGCAGTGGATTGAAAGAATCATTGGGCAGAATATTTTCACCTTAAAAGTTGTTTCTCCCATTGTACTGGAACTTGTAATGAGTTGGGGATGGGAGACCGGGCTTAATAGATAAGATGGAGAGAAGTAAATATTTACTCTTCTTCACTTTGCCAGGCCAGTACAGTGGTAGCAGTTGGATTGACCATTGCTGCTGCAGGATTTGCAGGTTTGTTTGTGGTTTGCCGGTAAAAGTGAAGTGGGGAGATTGGAATTTGTTTATTTATTTGTTTTTTGCTTTTGTTTTTAGGCCGTTATGTTTTGCAAGCCATGAAGCATATGGAACCTCAAGTAAAACAAGTTTTTCAAAGTCTACCAAAATCTGTAAGACTTACTAAACTTTTGAGCTAATTCTTTGTTGAGGAGAGTAAATTTTCAAACATATATGAGGTTCTTTTGTTTGGCCTCATAGCTCTGTTTTCACAAGAAGTCTGAGCATGGTAATGAGCCTATCCTCAGAAATTCAATGTTATGTGACAGTATCTGGGGGGAGGTGTTGCCATCTCTAGTATCAAGTGGCATATCATGTTTACTCCAGCATCATTGTGTTTACATTCTCACCCTCCCTCCTTGCTCTGTATCAACAGCACAGTTCTATAGGGATCTGAAGTGATCTATTCTTATTTTGTGACCTTGGCACACTCCTAAACTTGTTGATTGATACTTGCAAGTAGACTTTGGAGTGTGACTGGATGTGATGATGATACTGGAGTGCATTCTGTGGTCACATTTCCAGGTGACATCCTGTTCTGTATTACATATTTTTGTGTGTGATTGAATATGAGAGAGTAGGACGATAGTATACTTTACCAGATTTCTGACATAACATGATCAGAGGGCCTGATTGCATAATTGTGTTTTATTAGTTGCCTTGAGCCTCATGATGTCCATAAGCCACTTGCCCATGTAGACTTCTAAGTCCTCTTTTTGAGGCACTACTTGTTTTAAAATATATTCTCATATTCTGAGAAATTTTTACCTAGACCATGGCTAACTCTGCTCCTGAAAAACTGACTTTGAGTTACTGTTCAATTGTCTTACGTTTCCAAGACAGGTTAGTTTCTCTAGAAAAGGGGACTGTTGAAAGTATTATTTGTTGCTACTTGTCGCTATGGGTCGGAACCGACTCGACGGCACTTAACAACAACAACTTGTAAAGTGAAAATAATTACATGGGAAAGTTCTCTAAAATTACTTCTTCTATTGGTTTTGTGAACATTTACAAACATTTTCTTATCTACTTTTCAATTTACTTTATTAATGTGACCTTACTAATGTATTTTCTCTTTCAGGCTTTCAGTGGTGGATATTACAGAGGTGGATTTGAACACAAAATGACAAAACGGGAAGCAGCATTAATATTGGGTGTAAGGTATAATAATTTCAAATATTAAAAAAAAAATTCTACAACTCTAGAGATATGAAGAAATGTAAGAAAGGCCTTCTCCCTTAATTATTGTTGTTGTTAGGTGCCATTGAGTTGGTACCCACTTACAGCGACCACAGAATGAAACACTTCCTGATCCTGGGCCAATCTAACAATTGTTGCTATGCTTGAGCCCATTGATGCTGCCACTGTGCCAATCCATCTCATTGGGGGCCTTCTTTTCCTCTGATCCTCCATTATACCAAACATGATAACTTCTTTGAGTGACTGATCCCTCTTGACAATGTGTCTAAAGTATGGAAGACAAAGTCTGATCATCCTGGCCTCCAAGGAGCACTCTGGCTGTACTTCTTCCAACACAGAGCTGTTGTTTTTTAGCAGTAGTCCATGGTACTTTCAATATTCTCCTCCAACAAACAACACAACTCAGATGCATCAATTCTTCTACAGTCTTCTTATTCACTATCCAAATTTTACATGCATATGAGGTTATTGAAATTACCATGGCTTGGGTCAGGCATACCTTAGTCCTCAAACTGACATCTTTGCTCTTCAACACTTAAAGAGGTCTTGTGCAACAGATATGCCCAGTGCAGTATGTCATTTGTTTTCTTGACAGTTGCTTTCATGAGTGGACATGGTTGTGACAAGCAAAATGAAGTCACAACTTCAGTCTTTTCTCCATTCATATGGAGGTTATTTATTGGTCCAGTGGTGAGGATTTTTGTTTTCTTAACATTGAGGTATAACTCATACTGAAGGCTGGTCTTTGATCTTCATCAATAATTATTTTAAGTCCTCTTGAATTTCAACAAGCAAGGTAAGTATCATCTGCATATCATAGGTTGTTAATGAGCCTTCCTCCAATCCTGATACCGTTTTTCTTCATATAATCCAGCTTCTCTGATTATTTGTTCAGCATACAGATTGAATAAATATGGTGAAAGAATACAACCCTGGCCTTTCCTAATTTTAAACCATTCGGCATTCTACTGTTCTATTCAAACAACTGCCTCTTAGTCTATGTACAGGTTCCTCGTGAACACAATTAAGTGTTCCGAAATACTCATACTTCATAATGTTGTCCATAGCTTGTCATGATCCACACAATTGAAAGCCTTTGCGTAGTCAATACAGCACAAGTAAATGTCTTTCTGGTATTCTCTGCTTTCAACCAAGAGCCATCTGACGTCAACAGTGATACTACTCGTTCCACGTCCTCTTCTGAAACTAACTTGAAACTCTGGAAGTTCTGTCAGTGTATGATTGCAGCCGTTTCTATATTACCTTGATAAAAATTTACTCGCATGGGTTATCAATGGTACTCTGATGATTTCCGCATTCTGTTGGGCCCCTTATCTTTGGAATGGGCACAAATATAGATCTCTTCTAGTCAGTTGGCCAAGTTTTCTTCCACGTTTCTTGGCATAGATGAGTTAGTGCTTTGAAAGGTTTCAATTTTTGTTCCATCAATTCAAAGTGCCTTGTTCTTTGCCAATGACTTCAGTGCATCTTGAAATGGTTGAACCATTTCCTTTTTGTCTCTGTATTGCTTCCATCTTCTTTTAATGCTTTCTTCATCATTCAGTATTTTGCCCACAGAATCCTTCAATACGGCAAGTTGAGGTTTGAATGTTTTAGGTTTTTCAGTTCCCCCAGCTTGAGAAATGCTGAGCATGTTCTTCCCTTTTGGTTTTCTAACTTCAGGTCTTTGCATATTTTGTTATATTTGACTTTTTTTTGAGCTGACAGTTGAAATGTTCTGTTCAGCTCGTGCACCTCCTCACTTCTTTCATTTGCTTTAGCATCTCTGTGCTGGAGAGCAAGTTTCAGAATCTCTTCTGACATCCACTTTGGTCTTTTCCTTAATTCTTACCTTCTCAGTGACCTTTTACTTTTCTTCATGTATGATGTTCTTGATGTCATCTCCTAACTTTTCTGGTCTTTGGTCTTTAGTGTCTAATGCATCAAATCTGTTCTTCAGATGATTTCTGACCTCAGGTGGGATATATTCAGGATCATATTTTGGCCCTCATTGACTTATTTTCATTTGCTTCAGCTTCAGTTTGAATTTTCATATGAGCAATTGATAGTTCCACAATCTGCCCCTGGCCTTGTTTTGGCTGATGCTATGGAGCTTTTCCACCATCTCTTTCCACAGACGTAGTCAATTTGATTTCTGTGTATTCCATGTGTATAGTTGTCTTTTATACAGTTTTTAAAAAGTATTTGCAATGAAGAATTCATGGGTCTTGCAAAATTCTATCATGCGATCTCCAGCATCATTTCTATCACCAAGCCGTATTTTCCAACTACTGATCCTTCCTCTGTTTCCAACCTTTGCATTCCAATTGCTAGTAATGATCAAACATCTTGAATGCATGTTTGATCAACTACGTACCAAATAAGTTGGTAGAATTCAGTTTCATCGTCACTGGCTTAATGGTTGGTGCATAAATTTGGATAATAGTCCTCCTTATAGGCTAAATGAGTCCTGGTGTGGTGCTGTGGGTTAATGCACCAGACTGCAAAGCCGTTTGAACTGCAAGTTGGCAGTTCAAGCTCACCAGTCACTCCTAGGAAACCCTATACAGGGTCACTATGGGTTGGAATCCACTCAACGGCACTTAACAACAACATAGGCATAATGGATATTATCCTATCACAAACAACATTGTACCTCATGACTGCTGTTGATATGTTCTCTTTGATGATGAATGTGATGTCATTCCTCATTAATTTGTCATTCCCAGCATAGTAAGTCATGTGATTGTCAGATTTTAAATGGCCTATACCCGTCCATTTCAGCTCACTAATGCCTAGGATATCGAACTTGATACGTTCAGTTTTATTTTTGACAATTTCCAATTTTCCTAGATTCATACTTCATACATGCCATGTTCTGATTATTAATGGATTTTTAGAGCTATTTCTCATTCAGTTGTGCCTCGTCAGCAAAGGTCCCAAGGGCTTTACTCCATTCATGTCATCACAGTCAACTCTAGTTTGAGGAGGCAGCTCTTCCCTGGTTATATTTTAAGTGCCTTCCAACCTGAGGAGCTCATCTTCTGGCACTTTATCTGTCATTATTCTGATGCTCTTCATCACGTTTCAATATTCAGTAATCCAGTGCTGACAGTGTTCCACTGCTATTCATAGTCTTCAGTGACTAAATATTTGGAAGTAGTTCGCCTGTCTTTCTTCCAAGTCTTTCTTCGTGTGGAAGCTCATCTGAAACCTGTCCACTGTGGGTGACCTTGCTGATATTAATTAAAATATCGGTAGCATAGCTTCCAGAATCATAGCAACACACAAGCCACTGCAGTGTGACACACTGACAGACGAATGATGGCTCTCCTTAATTAGTGAAAGTTAATGGGGGTTTGTTGTCCCCAAAAGATTGGCAGTATCAATTCTAGTCAGTTTCACCTACAGTTACTTCCTTCCATGTACTTTTTAAAGATTAGCACTAACACTTTCAGATAATCACAGTACTCAATATTTTCTATAACTGATAAGCATATTCTGTGGTGAAATTCTGCTTTCATTTCTAAATACTAAGCATATTTCCCTTTTCCATAAAAAGACTCTTGTAATGAATATTACAAGTTCAAGTAACTTTTTAAGAAGAGCTTTTCAAAGGAGACCTGGTAGCACAGTTTGAGCACTAGGTTGGTAACCCCAGGGTTGGCAGTTGAAATCTACCAGCCATTCCACAGGAGGATGCTGTCTCCTCTTGTACAGATTTACACTCTCAGAAACCCTCTGGAGTTCTATTTTGTGAGTCAGAATCAACTTGACAGCCGTAGGTTGCTTTTCTAAGTAGCATTTAGTTCTGATTCAGAATATTCTTTTGTGGTAGAAAAGGCTCTTACAAACAATTTTTCAATGTGACTGAGAAAACAGATTGAAGTAGACAATACTTTTTTTTTTTTTAATTAGCCCTACTGCCAATAAAGGAAAAATAAGAGATGCTCATCGACGAATCATGCTCTTAAATCACCCAGATAAGGGTAAGTATTATGTATGTTGGAATGTATACTTGTTATTAATAGAATAACTTTATATCTAATTCTTGGTAGTCATTATAAGAAAAATGCCTAAATATCTATGTGAACACTGTCTCAAGAAGTAAATGCATTTGTTTTTGGTATCATAAAAGAATAAATGCTAAATGACAATTTTATTTACATAATAATGATCAGATTTAATAATTGCTATAGTTTGGAAGATAGTGATAAGCATTAACAATGCTTTAAGATATGCAGTTATAAGAAAATGTGATTTATAGTATTGACAAAGTCCTAAGCTTTGCTATATCTGTTTTCTATGTTGTTGTTGTTAAGTGCCATTTAGTAGGTTCCAACCCATAGCGACCCTATATAAGGTTTCCAAGGAGCAACTGGTGAGCTTGAACCGCCGACCTTGCAGTTCAAACGGCTTTGCAGTCTGGCACATTAACCCACAGCGCCACACCTAATTAAATTAAATCTAAATCATAATTAAATTTAAAATGTAATTCTGCCTCCCTTTACTGGACTACTCATTGGGTTGGTAGTTAATTCAAATCCACCAACTGTTCCATGGGAGAAAGATGAGGCTTTCTGCTGCTATAAAGATTTATAGCTTTGGAAACCTATGTGTAAGTCCTGGTGTGGCACTGTGGTCAGACAAAGTTGTCTGAATTGCAAGGTCAGTGGTTCAAGCTCACCAGCTGCTCCTTGGAAACCCTATACAGGGTCACTATGGGTCGGAACCGACTGGACGGCACATAACAACATGTCAGAACTGACTCACGGGTACTTAACAGCAGCATTAGACCCTTTGAACTAAAAGGCTACTTAATCAGAAATCTGTAGGGATATCATTTATTTCTGGTGCATGTATAAGCAGCTTAACAGTTTTCTACCTTCCTTGGTTGTGCTAAAAGAAAGCTGAGTACCAAAATACAAGAGTACCTCAAAAACTTTTGTGTAAAAATTTCATTATCTTTTAATGCCATTTCCCATTCCCTCTTGAAATTGAAACCACACAAAATATTCCAGGGCTCAAACTGTTACTTCTACTAGAGAGTCTTAAAAGAGAGTTTTGACACGTTAAAGGATTATAATTGTATGGAGCTCTGGTAGCGTAGTGGTTACGAATCGGGCTGCTAACCTGAGGGTCAGCAGTTTGAAGCTACGAGCTGTTCGTGGCAGAAAGATGAGGCTTTCTGCTCCCGTAGATTTACAGCCTCGGAAACCCCGTACACCCGCTATGAGTGGGAACACGGCACGTAACAACAACAGTTGTTTGGTAATCTGACTTCTCTGCCTCGTATACAAACTTTAGCTAGAGAACTTCTGATTCAGTAGTCAAGAATGGGTTCATAAAACTGCATTTCTACGTGACACACCCTATCTGATTGGAGACCACACTTTGAAAATGCTTTAGTAAGGATGCAGATTAGTAGGGTGACATCATTAAAGGAAAATTTACCAGAGAAAACAAACTATAAAGGACAGAAAAAAGATCTAAAGCAAACAGGAAACTTTCCAACAAAGAGTTAAGAAATCTCTGAGAATATCATGGTTTTAAAATAACATGGTACTAGTAAGTTAGTTCTGATTCATGACATAGAATCACCATGACTAGGATAATTTACACTGTTTTCAAATTACGTAAGTATGTGTTTTCTTAATCCTGTTTTGATACTTTTTTTAAGGTTTGGAAAAATGTAATTTTTTAAAGAAGTCTTTTTTTCATGTTTGACAAATAGGAAAGGGCTTCAAAAAGTTTGTGGAAATGGAATTAAAAGGTAATGGAATTTTTCCAGAAACTTTTAGAAGCCCCATCATCTATTAACATTTTTACTATAGCTTCACCTCTAGTCAAAGTATAGGGATCCTTGAAACAAGAGCATCTTTTAACCAAGCAAAAAGAATCTCTCTTGTAACGATTTCTTTTCTTTCTTCCTATAGGAGGATCTCCTTATATAGCAGCCAAAATCAATGAAGCTAAAGATTTACTAGAAGGTCAAGCTAAAAAGTGAAGTAAATATATGCTGAATTTTTTAAAGCATCTACTAGTTTATTATGTATACAAGCCTGACTTTTTATAATAAAATGCCTCAAAACTTTGATTTTTAAAAAATAATTTTGCAAAAGCCAACTCAAAGCCTCGGTATAATTTTATTTAAATTTGAGAATTTTAAGTAAGATTATTGACTAGCTTAGAATATTTGGAGATCGTTATTTATACATGTGTAACATTTGAATAGAAATATTACTCATTTAACAAATTTGGCACCTATTATTATGCACTCTTAGATGTAAAGTGAACATGATAGTCCCCATTCTCCAGAACCTCCTGTCTAATGGGAGATTGACAGATAGTGTTAAATAAAGTACATTGTAATGCTATAAAATTAGAATAAGTCATTATAATAAGGACTACTTGGGCAGAAAGGCTATTTAAGGTCTAAAACAGCACATTTTTAAAAACATAGGCCTGCCTATGTGGAATATTGTATTTAGCCACTCTGACCTAAGAAATTAACCCAGGTATGAGTATAGTATTACTGGCAGAACTCAACTATATGCATTAAAAATTATATAACAGTATGAAAAGACTTGAAAATACAGGTCTCGTTTTTAATCAAAGTAATTCCAATTAGTCCCTTCAAGATATTCATCAATTATAAATTGTTCCTTTAATTGGGTTATATTTTGACAAGTTTTACAGATGTTATCACTAATCTTAATACCTACACTTACTCCTTACTTATCTCATTATCTGATGTTTCCTATTATGACAATAATAAAAAAATCTATTTTTCACATTAACATTATATGTCTAGCAATAAGGGAAGCCAAGGGGCAAAACAAGTAACTGACTGTAATGATTACGTGCCAACTTGGCTGGGCCATGATTCTCAGTGGTTTGGCAGTTAGGTAATGATGTAATTATCCTCCATTTTTACTTAATTCAGATTTTTGCGTGATAACCTGGTCTTTGAGACCTAATCATATGTGGAGAATTGCATGCAGTATCAATACTGACCCATGTTGTTATTAAGGGCCATTGTGTCAGTTCTAACTCATTGTAACCCTTTGTAGTTTCTAAGGGAGTGATGGTGGGTCTGAACCACTGACCTTATGGTTAGCAGTCTAGTACTTATCCTACAGTGCCAAAATACTCAGTTTGGATTCTTAAAAATATACACAGTAATAAATTTAAATGACATTTGAAGGCAAATGGCTTACAACTAGTTTAACAGCATATAGTGTTTCATAATAATCTTAACCGGAAAACCTTCAAGTTGATTGCAACTCTTAGCGACCCTGTGGGGTACAATAGAATTTGCCTTGTATGATTTCTAAGGCTGCAATCTCTACAGAAACCCACTGCTACATATTTCTCCTCTGGAGCAACTTTGTGGATTCAAACAATTGACCTTTTGGTTAGCAACCAAGCCGCTTAGCCGTTACATTACCAGGTATCCCCCTATATCTTAACCAAACGACCTGGATAAAATCTGATGTAAATTCTGTGGCCACTAATAGAGTTGTTTATATCATATAGCTCTAAGGTAAGTAAGTTATACCTACATGGTATGGCACTATAGGATAAGCACTGGACTGCTAACCACAAGATTGGCTATTCAAACCCACCAGATGCTCCTTGGAAACGCTATACAGGGTTGCTATTGAGTCAGAATAAACTCGTTAGCTCCTGACAACCACCACCTAAGGTAAACTTTCATAAATTTTGAAAGTTCTCAATTAGTAATGGGAAATAGCTATAACAGAGGTAATCATATTTGGTGTTGGAGTATTTATAGATTTTGGTTTAAAAGTAGGAAAGTTGTATGCCAGGGTTATATTCTTTCACCGTCTGAATGCTGAGCAAACAATCAGAGAAGCTGGATGATATGAAGAAAAATGCGGCATCAGGATTTGAGGAAAAACGCAGTATCGACCTACAGTATGCAGATGATAGAACCTTGCTTGCTGAAAGCCTTGAGGACTTAAAATACTTGATAAAGATCAAAGACCATAGCCTTCAGTATGGGTTGCATTGCAATGTACAGAAATCCTCACCTCTAAACCATCTAAGTAGGGAAAATACTGAGGTTGTCAGAGACTTCACTTTGCATGGATCAACCATCAACACTCATGGAAGCAGCAGTCAAGAAATCAAACAATGTAATGTATTAGGCAAATCTGCTGCACAAGACCTTTAAGGTGTTCAAGAACAAAATGTCAGTTTGAGGACTAAGGTTCTCCTGACCCAAGTCATGGTGATATGCATGTTAAAGGTTGACAGTGAATAAGGAAGAAAGTAGAAGAATTAATATATTTTGAGTATGGTGTTAGAGAATATTAAAAGTACCATGGACTGCCAAAAGAACAAACCAATGTGTTGGAAGAAGTACGACCAGAATGCTCCTTGGAAGTTAGCATGGCTAGATTTCATTTTTCATATTTTGGGCATATTATCAGGAGGGTCCGTTCCCTGGAGAAAGAGGGTCAGAAAGACCCTCAAAGAGATGGATTGGCACAGTAGCAAGAACAGTGGTCTCAAGAATATCAAGTAGCTATTGTGATAATGGAGCAGGACGAGGCGGTGTTTCGTTCTGTTGTACATAGGGCTGCTGGGGGTTAGAAATGACTTGATGGCACCTAACAGGTTTTATTTACCCTTTGGTTTATTTACTGTCCTGTTCCCTTTTTTAAAATTTCTGATCAAGTCTGTTGTGATTTAGATGAAGACAAACCAGCCATGTCTTTTATGTACGAAAAATCTCCTTCCTGGGAAAAACTTCATATAGTAGATGTAAATACTTGTGCATGTTTAATGCAAATAGAGTATCTATTTTAAGACATGTATTAAGACAAGGAACCATTTTATTAGTAAAGAGCACAGCAGAGCACATTTTTCTTTTACATTGGTGGTGGTAGTGGTGATGTATATGTGCTGTGTAATCAGTTCTGATTCATAGCGACCCTGTATTGGGTTTCCGAGGCAATAAATCTTTATGGGAGCAGAAAGCCTCTTTAAACTGCTGACCTTGAGATTAGCAGTCTAATTCTTAACCACTACACTATCAGAGCTCCTTTTACATTGCTAAGTGCCATCAAGTGGACTCCAACCCATAGCGACCCTGTATAGGGTTTCCAAGGAGCCACCAACCTTGCAGTTCAAACAACTTTGCAGTTTGATGCATTAGCCTACAGCACCACACCTTTTTACATTAGTCAGTTTTATTTTCTTTAGGCTTGCCTTTTTTAAGTAGAACACAGAATCCGTATTTCATTGAAGGCTTAACCTAACATTTCTCTTATGAAAATAACGTTATCTGCATTAGATCATTGGGTAATATATGCCAGGTGATCTAAAAAAAAAAAAGCCTCTATCCTTTAATGTAAGGAACTCTGGTAGCGTAGTGGTTATGAATCGGGCTGCAAACCGCAAGGTCAGCAGTTCGAAACTACCAGCTGCTCCTGCTCCGCGGGAGAAAGATGAGGCTTTCTGCTCCCGTAAAGATTTACAGTCTCAGAAACCCTGCACAGGGTCGCTATGAGTCGGACCCGACTCCAAGGCTCTTAACAACAACAATATCCTTTTAATGTGGAGTCCTGGCTTGGCACTTCAGGATAGTGCTCTGGACTGCAAGGTCAATTTGAACTGCACGGTCAGCATTTCAAACCCACCAGCCGCTCCTCAGAAACCCTATACAGGGTCGCTATGGGTTGGAAAAAACTGGATGACACTTAACGTGTAAGCATTGTTCTATGCATTGTCCTGTCAATAAATCAACTACTTATTATATTGCAAGTGAAGAAAATGAAGTTTATGGAGGTTAAGTAACTTGTCCAGGGCTACATACATGCTGAATGAGAAAAGTAAGAATGAACCCTCGTCTTAGCTCCACAGTTCCATATGTTTAACCTCTGTTCTGTGTACCTTTCAGTTCACCAAGATGTTCTCCTTGGTGATGCTGAAATGTGACTCTGGTAACTTGTCATTACACATTTCGCTTAGACCAGTTGTTATAACCAGTTATAAAGATGGTCATTGCTTACATAGAAATACACAAAGTTGAATCCACCACTAATGAGTAAGAGGTACAGGATTCAGTAATGCAACATTTCTTCCATATTTTATGAGGGAACTAAACATCTTAGCAGTGGTTTCCAAGGTTATACAGCTAGTAAAATTAGAAGCCCTGAAAGGAGCTTTGGTAGCACAGTGGTTACAAATAGGACTGTTAACCTCAAGGTCAGCAGTTTGAAACTACCAGTTGTTCCATGAGAGAAAGAGACGGCTTTCTGCTCCTGTAAAGATTTAAAGCCTCGGAAACCCTATGCTTGGTCGCTATGAGTCGGAATCGACTCCACGGCACATAACAACAGTCTTCTCCAGTTCACTGCCTTCATTTGTAATTTGGTTCTAAGTATTAATAGATACGTATAATACCTTGGCTTTCCTGTTGGTGAAAATGGGTTATAATGTGTGGTCTTGGAATTAAATATCTTCTTTATGTTTTAAGCAAGATTCTCTTTCATAGTATTTTCCAATTCTTGGAATTACCTATGCCAACCCAAACCCACTACCATGGAGTCTATTCAGACTCCTAGAAACCCTGCATCATAGGCTTTCTAAGGCTGCAGATCTTTGTAGAAGCAGACTGCCTTACTTTCTGCCATATAAAGTAAGTTGTTGTTGTTAAGTACCGTCGAGTCAGTTCTGACCCATAGCGACCCTGTACAGGGTTTCTGAGGGTGTAAATCTTTAGAAAGTAAGTAGTGGGTTCTAAAGAGAAGCAAGGAGGGTAGTAGGATAGCTAGAAGCAAAATCATTCAGAACTTGGAAAAATTGAGTAACAAAATTACTAACATAAGGACAAAACCCTTGAACCATTCCACAGTGAAAGCTACATTTATATTCAGCATGGTTTTCTACCATGCCCTATCTTAAAACCTTACATCAAAAATACTTTAAAAATCCATGCATTCAAAAGTCTTCATGTAAAGGATTAATTAAGTTGTTTAAGTTTTAATACTTTAGGTTAGACCAGCTACATTGCTTTAATTACTGAGGATTTATAAGGTGTGCTCTGTTGACAGTAACCTGTAAATGT